TCGAGCTCCTGGGTCCTTCAACGGTTCGTGAGTCGTGCGGTCGGGGTCCGTTCAACCGGTCCACCCTGCCGCGTCCGCCCTGGTCGTCGTTCCGTCCGGCGACGACCCCTGGTCGGTTCGGCACCGGTGCGGCGTCAGGGGGGTGAAGAAACACATGGATGTCCATCGGCTGATGCATGGAAAGGGGTTTCAAAAAGGTGAGAAGGTTTCCTTCTACAGAAGGCATCATGTTCCATCCTTTCATTCTGTAGAAACCAATGAAGGCGTGCAAAACAAAAATAGACCTTGTCCTCCACTCTCAGGACATCAGCACTGAAAGCGGCTTGCTGATAGCCAGCCAACCTGGGCAGGCGATGCAGAAGCGAAACCAGTTTCGACATCAGAAAACAGATCAGCACTTGAGCTACATCCAAAACCCCATAAAACCACCACAATGGATCCAAATGGATGGTTTAGTGGGTATTGCAACCCAGTAAATATAATACTACTTTTTACCCTCAGTAGTTTATCAGGGATTCTCTACCAGGTTTTGGCCATATCTCACGACGGGTCAACACATCAAAATGACGTCACCACTCTGTTTGGAGAGAACGACCCAGACTCAGAGTTCCGAGCGCCGTTCTCCACATGAGCTCAACTCATCTCGACAGGTGGTTGCCTTGGGCGTCGCGCGGCAAGCAAGGATCGTCCTGCACGCTGTCGTTCACCACACAAGCGTTGTGTGAAAAGGCCAACTCTGAAGATGTCCGGAGAAGGAATCAGATCGTCATGCGTTTTTGTATCAGGTACCACATTTTACATCATGATTTCTCTGGTTCTTGCTTCAAGATCTCCAACACGCTGGGTGAGGAGCCTGGCGTCTTGTGCCACCTTGCCAGCCAGCACCCTGCAACATCTCCGAGATGTGGCGCTCGTTCACCAGCGATTCCGTCCTGTTTCGAAGAAATCGCTCCAGAGACGGATGAGACAAATCGGAATCGATGAGGACGGGATCATCCGTTTCATCGATGAGTTTGGGTTGGTCCCCCGGGACCTCCACAGAAAGAGGGTGAAAAGAATGGGACAGAGGTGGAAGGGTGGAAGGGTGAAAATACTCTCTCTCTCTCTCACTTTAACATCCCCGGAGTCAGTCCCTGACTGCCAGAGATTTGGTCCATCACTCAGATGCCTTGTGCATCACCTTGCGCTCCGGATGCAACGATCACGGCATGTGGGATATTCTCTTCTTCATGTTGGTGCTATGTCAGTGCCACGCCGCAAGAATCAGGAGAAGGAATCGTCATAAGTCATAACCCCTAGCAGTCCGGCCCACCATTGGATTTGAATGGTTCGAATCCCAAGAGAAAATACACTACAAAACTAGGTCAACCATGGCTTATCAATGGTCGAACGGATTTGGCGAATGGGATAAGAAAGGCAACAGTATGTTGTTTCATGTCTTTTCCAATGACCTACCTTCGTATGTCTGTCACGCCCCATGACAGGGGTCAATGGAGGCCGGGTGCTTCCGCCGGGTGGCGTCCAAACGGAGATGTCGTGGAAGGTTCAGACGTCGTTTGTGCCGATGTTTGTTCGCACTCCCGTCGACGTTGACATGGGTCGAGCCAATCTTGCGGTGCCGACCTGAAGTGAAAACGGAAGACTACACACCCTGACGAACACCCTGACGAACACATGGATGGCATGGTCCCTTGGCAGACGACTTTGCCTCTTACGAACAGTGGGTGAACTCCATTTCCATGTGTCGTGAGTCTGAGTGTAAACCACAGCCAGCCTGGTGCTTCAGCCTGCCATGCACTTCGTGCAGGTGTCTACAGATCTCCAGTGTGGTGAAGTATAGTGACTCCCATCTATGGCTCGAGGCGCGTGTCCCATCGATGTCAAAGTTAGAACGGGGGTTGTCATGACGACTTCCCGCATTTGAGGAGAGACTCTCATGATATATGGACATATCCCGGACCATCCATGTATGGAATACCGACATACATTGGCCCCATTCAAGACCCTCATGTAGGTAACTAACTATTCCATACATGTATATAAAAAACTCTATGTCAGATCTATGAATATGAATTTATTGAAAAAGGACCCGCGCCTGTTGGGAGACTTTGCCTTCCAAAAAAAATGGTTGGTCTCTTCTCAGGCAGCTGATGGCTCCGCACTGCGGATATACGGCAGCAAGGCGGGTGCAAGGTTGAAGGCTTCCGTTAGGCTTGGGGAATTCTGAAGTTGGTTTGAAGACAGTCCTACTAGCGATGGCCTCCAACCTAGAAAGCGATGGCCTCCACCCTAAAAGCGATGGCCTCCAACATCCTCCAACCGTTTGAAGCGTTGGCCCAGCGCACACATCTACCAGCGATGCGTGGGATTGGGAGCTCGTTAACAGTTCGATCTGTTTCGGAGGAAAGTGGTCCTGCCAAAAACCAATGGGTTTCCGCTACATATGACTTGTTCCGCTGAAAGGGGCACTGGTGCGCCGCACTACACTGTTCTGCTCATCCCTTCAGGTGTTCATGCGGAGTGGTTGGCTGGGAGATGAGGAGGCCACCGACCGGTCCTTGTCACCGAAACGTGAGTCGAGTCCGTGTTCTTTCTAACTAAGTGGTGGGGGTTTTTAGGCACGCACTCACATCTGCAACAGACACAGTGTCAGTCAATATGCATAAGTAACGTAAGTATTCGGCTTGGGGTGACCTATGTCAAGAGGTGCTGAACGCCTCTGACAGCTTCGAGACGGCCAACAGCAGCACCGTGTGAAGCCTCAGAGGAGCAAACAGCACCCACCGGGTCCACCGCAGGTCATCACGGGACCGTTCCCGGGTGCCCGGTGTTGTCCCGGTGATGTTGGTCTCCAAAGATCCCAAGCATGTGAAGATGTGGTTGCTTCTGATTTGAGAACGAGGCCAGCGTTGGTGCGCGTGAGGTGTGTTAAGACGGCGGCACCTTTCATGCTTAGCATGTGAAGCGTTGCGTGCGTTCTTGGTGATGACGTTCTATTTGGGAGCAAAAAGCCACGAGATGATTTGGGGCCGCAAAGGACGTGTTCATTGGCGTGATGAATGAGACCTTGAATGGACCGAACGCGAGAACACCAAGTGAGAAGCACCAAGTGTTGGGTCAATCACGAGAATGCTTGCACCAAAAACATTCCAAGGGGCCCATGGGAGGACCACACATAGATGGCCCTTTAACTATAGTGATTGATTGATTTATAGCGGGGATAACTCCCAAGTGAACAACCAATGGATCACCAAACCGACCCCTCTGTTACTGTGGACATGGGACATCACTGGGACCCCATGGCACATGGCCGTCGCTCCGAGCTCGCCGTGCGACACATCAGCACCGCGTTGAGGGCATGGTGCCCTCCTCGCTCGCACGTGAGTTCGATCGCGCATCTTCAACCACATCCAGTTCAATAACTGGATGCCATATGGTGCCACATAATACCGTTTGGTTTCATGAAGCTATATATCGAACTGATGAGAAAACAGAGACGTTTGCGCCTCAAAAAATACCACTCTCTTTTCTTCACATGGTAAGTCATCTCTTTTCGATCTTCGAGGCAGTGGCTCCCATGGCCACCTTTGACCTCGTCGTCGAGTGACATCCGAGCGGGAGGGGTTAGGGATGCGATGAAAAGACGTTTGCCCAAAGCGCGCTGGTCGTCACGTGCCAAAGCTCTCGCGTCACGCCACGTCAAGACGTGAAAAACTGAACAAGAAAAGGGTTGTCGGCAGTGAACTTTGCATCGTTGTGCCTCATTTGAACAAGAGCAATCAGTTACACTCTGACGAACACATCACATGCAAGTGAAAAAATGGTCCCTTGCTTGGAAGAATATTGTCCTCTAGAGACACAGAGTGTCCACTTCCATGTTAGTGAGTCCCTGTTAATCCCCAGGCCACCTTTGACTATAGGCAGAGGATGCTACAACTGAAGCACCCAGGGGCAGTTTAGGACATAGCCCTTTAACTTACCACTATAGGAGGAAGTTGAAGTGAGGTGAACTCTTCAGCTCAGTAAATGTAACTCATGTGATGGTCAGTGCCGCCCTCCACCTCAGACGTCTCACCCCCAGTGGCGGCGGCCACAAAGTCTAGACAGGTTGATGTTTGACAGCTTTTTGGGACCTGAATTCTTTCGTTCTTAGAGCTTCTAAGTCCCTAGGGCTCTTGGCCCACCTCCGTTTCGAAGATGGTTGGGGTGGGTGCCAGGGGGGGTCTAACCACCTCCTGAGGGTATGGTTGGAGCCCTAGGGAGTATGAGTAGGCCAAGGAACTGTCTGGTGAGGACCGTGGCCTTTTCTTACCCAGCTATGTCGCTTGTTTTGCCTCAAGCTGTTGACAGATTTGGTTCAACAGGCCCATGATGTCAGTCTTCAACCTTCCACCACACATTCTGTCTTCGCTGTTTGAAGTCTAAGACTCTCAGACACGGCGAGCGGCGCGCGACAGCGGGTGGCGAGATGGATCAAGAGATGTGCAGAAACAGGGTGCTCCGACTTGTCACTTGCGACAGGAAGATGAGATCACTTGAACACCCCAAAAAGCGAAGAGGCCATGGCCGTTTGGCCCAACCGGTCGTTTTCGGAGATCTTCACCAGCTTGGACGGAGAAGGGTGCTGGAGAACTCGAAAGCAGACGATGACGGCTTCTTGCGGAGACAAAGGACAAGCCCAAGGACCCACATTTAAGAAATTCAGGAAAACTCTGTGGGCAGCAAGCTTGGAGGTCTACCCTCCCTCCAACAATCATGGAAGCTGATTGGGACCCCTGTTGCAAAAGGATCGTGAAGGAGAATGGTAGACTTGGGTGCGTCCCATGACCTGTAGAACTCGATAAAAGATGATAACGTTTTGTTTAAAAGCCCTTTACTCACCATCATCATGCTTGGTTATAAGGCCATAGGGAATGGGATAGTTATACCCGGCCCTTATGGGATACATATTGAACAATAGAGCCTCCACAATATGAGGAAGCGAAGCGAATCGCTTCGAGGTGCCGCAGATGATCAGTGACCATTTAGCCTCCCACATGCCGAGGCGTTGTGTCGGTCGGGTCGCGACGGCGCGCGAAAACGAAAGACGTGAAGGACGGCGCACCTGGTGGAGGGTGAAAGACGCCGTCCTTCCCTTTTTGATGTGTTTTCTAGTGTATGGAGATGAAAATAAGATGAACTGTGATTTTTTTACGTTTTTAAGGGTTCATCTAGGAACGCAAGAGATTGGGGATGGACGTGTGGGAGAATTGGTGGAATCGAATTCAGAGGGACGTCATCAAGTCCCCTGAGGAACTCAGGAGTTCTATAGCAATTGAAAGGAGCCCATGTCATCCCTAGTGCCAGCCCTGTACGAAGTGCTCACAATGCTTCAATGTTCGCGACAGGTTTTGCGTTGGTGGCAGACGTTTGGGAGGCTTAAAAAGACCTGTCAAGCAGATGCCGTGGGCTTGGCAAGCTGATCCAAAACATGATTCGATGTCATTTTGTACACAAAAGGCTGAAAGGAGAACGACATCCATTCAGAGTATAGTTAAGTCTTCTTGGTCACCTCCTCTTGGTGGAAGCAAACTCGTAACTTCTCCAAGAAAGCGACGCTGAGCTGCAGTTAGCTGCAATTGTACCGTCATCTAGCAGCCAGTTCTTGATACACATTCTGTACAGTTATTACAGATGTACTACAAACCTTTATTGAAGAATTATATAATGACTCAACTGAGACATCGACATCGCACCAACAGTACGTAACACCTCAACATGTCTCCGTGTTCCCATGTTTCTGCCCTCCACCCACGAACACGTCCATCTCACCGAGGTCCGTGGGCGCGATGCACGCGGCCTTTCTCACGGAGGATGGAGCGAGAAGCGGGAGAAGCGGTCGAGGTCGGTCCGGAGTTCAGGGAGTTCCGGGCGTGTCCAAGTGTTGGTGGGTAACTGTTTCCGGTTCTTTTTGTCAGAAAAGGGGCAGAGTCGTCACGCCCAAGAACCACCGTTCACGCGTTCGTCTTCTCTCGCCATTCGGGTCGTTGTTTCACGACCGACCTTGCAGGTAGGTCGTGCCCGCGTTGGTTGGCCGTGACCCAGAAGCCAATATGAAGCTGCTGAAAAAAAGAAAAAAAATATATATATATATAGAGTTCGAAGATCGGTGGAGAATGGTGGACATTGTTGATTTTCTATATGACACCTGCCACATGAACTTGGGGTGGAGAATGGTAGAAATGCCGATGTCGAACTTCGAAACATCCATGGAACCCTCCACAGTAAGACGAAAAAACGGACATCGCTGTCCCATGACCCCTAGACTGAGTGTCCCACCCCCGGTGACTGAGTGTCTTATATATGCCACATAAATATGTGACCTATTTTGATATATAGTTGACATTATATATACATTATGTTGAGACATATGTTTGACATATGTTTGACATATGCTATATGTCTTGTAGACGACTTGTTAGATAGACGCTATATGTCTCATGCCATGTGAAGAAACCATCCGTGTTTGGATGGTCTTGGTCGTTCCCAACCCTTCCTCGTTCGTTCCCGCGAGGATGGCCGCGTGTATTGCCTGGGACGAAATGCCTGTGGCGAGTGGAGCACCCGGTGGCGACACACGAGTGGGGCGGGGCGTCACCTAGGTCCCTGGCGGCGCGGCACGAGTGACGAAGAACAGAAAAGAGTGAAGAACCATATGTGAAACTGGGAACCATGGTTCATGGAAACCATTTACTCACAGCGCTCTCTCCCCTCTCAAACACAAATAGTTGGGTAGAAGAATCCTGCTATATGGTTGTAGAGAAAAAAAGAATGGAAAAGAGGCCTTCCATCCGATGATCTCCATGGATCCTATGCCATTCACTTCCATGCGCTTTCGTCTTTGTGCTGTGGGGCAGTCGATTGATCCCAAAAGACGAGCAACTCGCTGGATGGCGTATCACTGGATGCTTGGAGGTGCACATCCATCATCCGGAGACCGGAACTCACACCACCTCGGGGTCTTGCTCACTGGACTCATGACGTATGACTGGTCTTCATCCGACTGAACTCAGTCAGCGCACTGACCTCAGAGTTCCCGTGACTCCGAACCAACCGGGTCGCCCGACGTGCGTGACGACGTCGCCGTTTGACGGTCTGAACGGACGGTCTCAGGTGTGGCTTCGATCCTGCGGTGCAAAACGTGGCCACGTCCTGCCGAAGGGTCCGGACCGTCGATTTTTTGGACGAAGAACTGAACGAAGGAGCGGTTGGTGGGACAAGGGGACATGTCGATCTGTAGAGGTGTTTGGTGAGACAAGGTAGAAGTACATAAGTCCTCTTTCTGCCTGTGAAGGTGGGTTCTTTCTGGACGGCTGTCCACTTTGCGAGCCAACTCGACCTCATCAACAGTGAAGAGTTCAAAGCGGTCAAAGGGTCGCCACAGCCATGTCCAGCAGCGACCGGTGCGTTCGATGGATTTCGGAGCCATTGCAGTGATCAGGATCAGCGCATGGATACACGCAAAAAGGTCTCATATGACAGAGAACAAGTTGACAGCGCAAGTAGAGGACATGAAAGGACCTCGAATCCAAGCAGATACACAACACGCAACAATCTTTATTGGTTTTCTATGAATGCTCTATATTCTTCCGTTTACAAATGGACAGGTTTTCTTCCTGTTCATGGGAATCTATGGCTTGAATACAGACCTCAGACTCGGTCACAGTTGTGGTTCTCTCCTTATGGCGTTCGTTGGACGGACATCCAATATATGAAGGAAGCAGTCATTTTAGCTGGGCAAAGACCTGGTTCACATGACCAGAGCTGAAAAAATCTCCCAAGGTTCTTCTCCTCCAAGGAGTCACATGAAAAGGGATGCTGTGGCGCGTCCCATCCAGGGGCCGTGGAGAATGAGAGAAATCGGCACTCATGGGCACCTAACCTCCTTCCTCCATGGATAGCACCCGGTCCCGGCCCTGTCCTCCATGCAATCTGCTTGACTCCACTCCGAGCTCGGCCGAAAAATCGTCGTCCCCCATCTCTGCCTTCTTCGTCGCCATGGAAGTGAAGCACACCGTCTTCGATCCGCGGCGGTTGAAACTCGACCGCTCCACGCACCGACCGGGTGGCTTCTTCGACCTTCCAGCCCACACACGCTCCACTCCGCCGTCACGGGACGGCTTTCCACGGCCCGGCTCACGGGGGGACACCGGCGCCAGACGTTTGAAGCCGATTCCTGAGAGTGGCTGGGGATCAGCTTCAGGTCAAGACTTTTGGTTGGTGTTTCTTTTTCAATTGGTCGTTTGTTAGACCTTCCAAGAGCTTGGCAGTGACCAAAGACGAAGATGGATCGCGGAAGGGTTTTGGAGGACGAGAAGTGGGAGAAAGTGTGGGACATGACGGGCTGGACACAGAAGTTTTCTCAGATTCCACCATATTCTGGTCAGGAAGGCCCTTGTACTCCTTGGGTGGCTGTCAGGAAGGCCCTGTCTACATCCGTTTCATCTTATCGTCTCTCACCGCACTCCTCCGTCTAGGCGCACAAAGCGAGGCCGGCGACCGCACGGTGGCACTGCGCTCGAATCGATGCGTCGAGTTGATGGGTGCGGAGCCTGTGGAGCCATGGAGATCGCCAGCAGTGGTGGAGCTTTGGCCGAACAGTCGGCCGCGGAGTTTGGGCCAAACTGTTTAGCAGGGAATTCGAGGACGCGACGAGTTCGGAGCGTTTCGAGCATGTATGCCTCGCTCGGGAGCGATCGGACGCGACGCGAGGAATTAGTAGGGGCTCGTGGTCTTACGACGAACGGAACAAAGAAGCGATTAGGAACAAGAATTAAGGAGTTGGGGGGCCCAGATGATCCATCTTCCATCATCTTCCCCTTCGAAACACACAGCCGGCGTTTGGTGATGCAGGGAGGGTCCAAACGATATGTTCGGAGGTTTGGCTTGGAGTACAGGTTTTTGAAAAAAAAAGGAACTTTACTAAGCTGTGGTGCTTTTGCTATTTGCTTCAAAAGGATCCAGTCGAAAGCCACCAGACATTGCGTCGACACTCTAGACACTTTCTGAGTCTTTTTGTGTTCAGTTCTTTCACTTTCATCAAATAAGGTCATTGTTCCCCTGTGTTTTTCAGCAAACAGCTTAGTCATTTGGTCTCCATGCTTCTTTGGGTTTTACTGCGCCAGCGCATGTGATGGGACGTTATCTTTCAAAAAAGAATGCCTTGTTTTCGAGGGTAGGACTCGCCCGTCTCAATGCTATGCATGGCACGGCACACGGCACGGCAATGCCCTGCACTTAAAATGGGAGATCTCTCAAAGAGCCTCTGGAAGAAGGAAGATAGGCTAAACCCATTGGGCCAGAAGGTTTCCCAAATAAAACACACACCCATATCGCTTCTTCTTCCGATCTCTTCCATCACTTGGTATTACTAAGGGTGATGTCTATTTTTGTGGTTGAATTCCCTCAAATATGTATTTCCCGGCTTTTCTGGCTAAGCACAGATCCGGCCGCACATCGATCAGCTCACGTCTCTTCAGGACTTCGCGCTGGGCTTGGACCAGGGCCGCCTCGATGCGCTTGTCCTGCAGGGCCCCCGTGGCACCGCGCTGCGCGCCGCCGGCGAGGCGGCAGATCACCAGGTCGCCTCCAAAGCGGTGGCGGAGATCGAAGCGCAACGGCAGAACGCGCTGAGCTCAGGCGACGGCAACAGTCGAAGAGGAGAGGAGGTCCAGGTCTGAGGTCGTGTAGTAAAAAGGTGGTGAGACCCGTGAGAGACGCGTAGGTTGGATGAGATGGTGATGGTGATAGATGGGAAGAGACTCTGTTGAGTCACGTTTGAGGCCAGCAGATGCCCACCAGTGTTTGAAAAAGGAGGTCATCACAGAATCCTTTCATTTGGAATCTATTCAGTTGTCAATTCATAGCCCAACCGGTCTATGAGTTCCGTCCATTCATCCTCTCGGTGTGTGAGCCGAGTCGGAATTCTCACGGTGTGCTGTACAGCAATGGAAGTCCTTCTCCTTTCCTTACCCAGACGGCGACCGGTGGGACTGCCAGTCCGGACTGCCTTCGGGTGGTGCCAGCGGGGGTCTGTTTGGGGCGGCATAGCATGGGTTTGGGTCTGGCGCGATAGGCGTGGAAGATCCGTCGCAACATCTTCCTCACACGGAAGACCTCGGGTCTCGGACTGCAGTCGACCCATTGATGGTTCGGTCTCAGGGTGAAACCGGTCTAAGACCGCCATGAAAACGGCTTGAAAACACACATGTGAAAGAAGTATGCGGTCGTACAAATCTCTTGATGTGTCTTTTTTCTGTCATGAATTCAATGTAGACCGTGGTGAAAAACCCCAGACTCCTCAGGATTCGGGTGCAGGGTCGCGTCTGGGCAATACAACCCAAATACCTCATGATCATGCAGAGTCCTCCATCGCAGACGCCAGGCGTGGAGGGCCCCAGGGCCGATGCTACCGAGCTACCGCGCTTCAACGCCGCGCGGCGCAACGCCGTGCCGCGCGGCGAGGACCTGGCGCTGAGCAAACTCGCGGTGCCGCGGGCGCCCTTGGCGTTCGGTGCCCTGTTGGGAACAGCGGGAGAAAAGGGGGCCCGGCGCGCCCGGAAGTGTGTTGATGCCCCTGGCACATGATGGGAAAAGACCTATCAGAGATGGCGAAGATGTTTTAATGGTGATGGGAAGTGACGGTCCGGGGGGGGTGTTTAGGAAGCGTCGTTTTGTTTGTGGAATCTGTATTTCTCAATTTTAAGAAAGCCAAGGTTGAAGTTGGTCTATGCAAACTGTCTGTAATTTTCCACGGATGTAATGTTTTGTGGGTAGTTGGTGATGCAGAAGATGCAAGGTAAGAATTGCATCACTAGCATCATCATTACATTGGAGCACATGTAGGCTTGGAGTGCTGGGTGATGTTGGCTGCCACCCAAATTCATGTCCCTTGACATCTGACGCCGGGAGTACATTTGGATCTTAAAGTATAGTCCAGAAGGTTCTACAACCTGGAATCCAGATCTTTAACCATAGCTTTGACAAGGCCTGGCCGCGGTCACCTTGTACAAACAATATTCGCAGTCATGGACACGCACCAAGGCTTTGCGAGAACAGGTTGGGACAGTCAAGGGTTTATCCTATACGTCCTAACAAAGCCTAATAGACTCCATAAGTAAACAGCCACATACATGCGAATTAGATATCGGGAATGATTAAAGAGACCCTACGAAGTGCTGACTTCGTGGGGTCCGTTGTCAGGCTTCAACGGCATCCGTACCGAGCCCCATGACTTGATACGGTTAGGTTTTGGAGAGAAAGAGATCCTCTTCGTGGGGTAATGATGGCTTTCGTTTCCCCCTTCTCAGGTTCCCTTCGAGGTCGTTCTCATCTTCTGAGTTCCCTACGGTCACCTTCCAATCCCAAGGCGCCGTGTACGAATACCGCGACGCCTGTGGCACCGCCAAAGTGGTTGCTTCCACTGCCACGATGCCCGAGAAGCAATACGCCTTGGACCAGCGACACTACGAGCATCGCCTTCCCAAGCGCGATCCACAGCTCGTTTGGGTGGGCCTCACCGGTGGAAGGCGCAGAGTGTTTCAGTCTTCTGACTTCTTCGCGTCTCCGATCGGGGGTGTATCCGCGAGAGGTCCCTCGAACCGGTGGTTGCAGTTTTCTTTATGTTTCTCTCGGACTTGGTGGAAGTGATGGAAGACGGATTTAGAAGGAAGCTCACAACCTTTGTTTGGAAATTCCCCTGCACCTGTTTGTGAATAAAGCCAAGAGCATTGCTTTTAGGTGGGCAAAGCTGTCTTAAGGCCAAACCAGAAGTTGATGGACACATATATAGCCACATATATATGGACACCCAACACTTGCGTGCCCAACTGACACACAATTTAATCAAATGTCCATTATGGCATGGTTTCCTCCAGCTTTGAGAATTGGAGAAGGGATATGAAGAGATCATGCGTCTGTTCTCAATGAATTTCGCAGACAAGTGACATAGACCATGAAACGAGGGATCTTCACACCCACCCGCGCCAGGGGCGGCTTGAACGAAGCAGAGATGGCCAGCGTGCGTCGTCGGGTGGCGGACGCGCGCGCCGAGCGGTTGAATGCGAAGAAGCTCTCGGACATCAAACCGTACTCCCGCGCCCTCGGCCGCGCTACGGACCGTTGACGAAGGGGGTGTTCGTTTGCGTGGAGCGAACCGGAGCGGCGGTTGTGGGCGTACGTACTGGGAGCAAGAAGCTATTAGGTTGGAGGCCATCGCTAGTATGGGGGAGACTCTCACGATTATCATAAAGAAAACGAAATAAGACATGGTGAGGTTTCAACTGTGCGGTTCTTGGTTGCGCTTCCAAAGAAGATTCATTTTTGACCAAAAGGCATGACAAAAGTGTTGTAGACGTTGTAAAAAAAGTGTTTGGGTGATGTGTCGATCTCAGCAGAAGAGGCTCCACCTGCTTCACTTTCTTGCCGGGGTGGTTAAATCAGATGAAAGAAAGCGTGAATTCTTCTCATCAGGGATGAGGATTATGTTGTTGGTTGACTTGGGCCACGATGCTCGTGTAGAAATGTTTGCAATGTCTTCCCGTTTCACGACATGTTGCGACGCTAAGGGCTTGAGAGTTGGACGTTCTTCTTGTTCTAATCCGTCCGGAAAACTGTTCTTTGCTCTTAGAGGACGCGATGTCGACCCTTGGGAAAGATGATGCAGGGTAGATGGGGAAGAAACCGCAACCTGTGGTGTTCCTTCTCCCACCAACTACCTCAAAACCTAAGAGAGGTAACAAAACCCTTCAAGCTTAAACACGCGTGTCTGACAGGCTTAGCTATTTGTAGACAGCTCACAGGTTGAGTGTCTAACTCTACTTGTTGGCTGTGTGTATGCTTTTGTTCTTTCGTGCCCGGACTGGATGACACCCGCGGGACTATGACCCCCAACCACGGTCAGCCAAGGCCATGCATGAGAGAGGGCTCCCACCGCACAGTTTCACTGTCTTGCTGGAAAGATCTGAGCGAACACGAACGGCAGCGGTCCACCCGCATGGCAACCATGAGTGGGTATCACGAGCATGGCATTTTTTGGAATCGGGCGGGGTGGCACATGTTTGCTGGATAACTTGCAACATGTGCAGATACTGGTTCTCACCAGGACGTGCCGCGCGAAAGCGATGTCTTTTCTTTAAGCTCGCCCAGGTGAGCTTCCCTCGACACAGCCATCCAGTGCAAAGATCCTTTTTCTGCAGCCAGATACCATTCACCCAACATTATGGGGTTAGTTACAAAAAGGTGGGTCATGGAGACAAGGAGATGTTGTTTCCATCATCTACTCTTGTCGCCGAAGCGGCAACAGTTTCTTGTGACATGAAAATGCTTCGGCCCAGACATGCCCAGACTGTGGAAGGCATAGCAACGAGACATGTTCGAAGACTATTGGGAACACCTAAATTAAAGACTGTACTCTGAAACCTGTTCGCTTGGCAAAACTGCAGGTTTGCAATAGCAATTTGACCGGTGTTGTATCAAAGTAGATCTCTAAATCGGGTGTCTTCCGATGTTGTGAGTGGCAATGGATCCAGAGATTAGCTGCTAGCTATACCACCATGAATACATGAGCAAGACAGCTGCGCTGTTCTCAGAGATGTTCCCTTCACCCACCGTCTTGAGCTCGATACACTTGGGTTCCCAATGGGAGCTCCTAAGGAGTCGAATGCGGCAAATCGCACACGGCCGCGGGCCCCCAGCACATCGCCTAAGATCGCCATACGTCTACGCCCTTGGTTGGTTGCTATATTCAGAGAACCAGTTGAGAAAATGAAAAGAAAGAACACCAGTGTGAACTAACCACCAATTGGTATGTACCTCCATGAGTGACCTACCCATGAGCTGGGCCTGGCCTACCCGTTCCGTCACCACCGCCCCAGTCCGGTTCCGGTCACAGGTGGCCGTGGGAGCAGAAGGGCAATGCCTCTCGTGGGGCGACGACTCGAAGGTGCCGCCCTGCCGAGGAGGGCCCAACCGGGGCCGACGGCCCTAACAACGGAAAGAGGAGAAGTTAGGGGGTGATCATAACTTCCCCTAACATGGTGATGAACTGCTTTTTCCACCGGTTTTACGGTTGGAAATCCATGAACTTGGGGCTTTTCGGAAACTTGAGGCTTTTTTTCCGGTGCACTGGAGAGCACTGCGATGCACAGAGGTCTTGGTGAGTCAAAACGAGGTCTTGTTGGCGTGCGTCATCCCGCCGGGTGATGATGAGCATGGCTTTGTTTGAAACCAAGGTCTCCGACCTTAGAAAGACTGTAAACACTCTGTAAACATCGTTTTACATCTTTAAATCAGGTTACTCAATACTTTAGACTTACGAATTTGCTAGCAGCATACTTAGACTGGCCCACCCAAAGGAGGCTGAATCGCGAAAGGGGGTCACCCCCGCCGATCCTGGGGCCTCGCTTTGACCCCACACCCACCGGACACGACCGGTCGCCGTGAGCAGCGCCGCAGATCCAGCTGGGCCTCGGCGACACACGCTCCGCCGTGGGCGAGGAACGCCCCTCCAGCGGCTCGCGAGGCGTGCGGCATGGTCGGGTGATCGCGGGTCGACTGCCCGGAGGGTGGGGCTATCCCGGCCAGAATGGGGGATGCTCGCCGCTCTCCGCTATTCCCCCAAGGGGATGCCTTTTTTGACCGCTATTCTCCAACAGTTTGGGTGTTGAAGGTGGAAGAAATCCAAGACTTCCTTCAATTCAAAATGCTAAGGTCCATTCTGGTGCTTCACCAGATATAATGTTGCATTCATAATCCAAAGCCTTCCACATCCAATTGCCTGACCTGTGAAACGACTCTTTTTGCACCTTGCACTTCACCATTCTGACGAAGTTTTTTCAAGTCGTCGACCCTTGCAGGCTTTCTCAGACAGCGGCAAACTGGCGAGGCCGGAAGTTTGAATCGTGTAGTTTTTGGGGTGTGTCCCATCACCAGTGTATTTAGCCGTTTGTCAAAGATTATCATTTTGGAATATTTTGGTGGGAAAGTTGTCTTTACTTTGTAACCAGCATCGGGTGATGCTGGGAATGAAACACACCCGAGGCAAGATGTGGTTGTTTGGTTGAACTTCTAGGACAAAGGACAACTCTATAGTGGTCCGTTTGTGGTAGGCAGAACTGGGGATGGAAAAAAGGACTCAATCAACCTTGGGCGATTAGGTACCGACCACAAAGGGTGTTGGTGAATTTTGACCACACGACAGGTGGTCACAGAAAGTGTGCCAAGGAGTCTGCAAAAACTCACCTGCCGCATGGTTAAGCCCTGCAAGTCTGGGAAAAGAAGTCAGCATTCATCTAGATGCCCTTGGTTAGGTGGTTTGGAATAGATGCCCTTGGAGACGATTTTGAACTCGTGTTTCGGTGACCCGGAAAGGAAACATCCAACCAGCCCCCGAGAGACGAAGAAGTACCAAGTCGACAGTCTGTGGGTGATTTCTGAGAAAATGGATGGTTATGGTCAGAGAAGAAAGCATATATGCTGGCTGCTGGCTGTTTATAATGGAAGACATCCTGCACCACCACAGGATATACATTGGCTGTGAATCCGGCGCTTGGGATGCTTCGGATACTTCAAAACCCGCCCATGGATACTTCTAAAATGAACCTAGCAGACTTCGATGGTAAAAAGAAGTAAAAGGCAATTTCCTTACATTTGGGTCTCACACCATTACATTCGAGTGCTATAGATGTGGTTTTGTTGAGTTGATCAGGACACTTCACACTTGAAGCGACGACACTTTTCCTTCCTTTCAGCAATTGCTTCAAAGTCCGGGTGAGAGGGACAGAAGATGACAGAAGGGACCACTCAGAATCTTTGCCCGGCCTGGCAGTCACGCTGCACACTGCCACACAGAATAAAACAAATCTTCAAGCCCTCAATGTTCAAGGAACATTCAGCACCGTTAGTGCAATAAGTGGCTCACCTTTTTTACCCTATGGCACCGTTATAGGGACAGCTTTCTGAAGAAGAGTTGTTCTTCTAGCTTTGTCACCTTCAACTGCCAATCCTTCACATCATCAGTTTTCAACCGAAGTGCTCTCTCCAGTTCTCGGACTTGCTCACCTTAGAGTTGATTGGAGTAAGTTGAAAGTCAACCCAACCCTGAAAGAGAGTACGTGAACATAGTCACAAGTCACGTAGGCGAGTTACGAGCACATGAAAGTAGTTCAATTGACAAGTTACGTAACTCATAGATTTGGTGAACATAGGTTTCTTCCATCTTGTAGCATAGATGGCAGGACCTTCCCCCAAGCTTCAAATCACCCCTTGAAGCTGCTTCGCTGGAATTATCATCGTTGACATCTGGCAAAGGTAGAGCTGGGTGTTCCTCCTTGTCCTTCATACCTTTGCTCCTATTGCGATGGCGTTTTGGTCCTTGGAAAATCTTGGAAACACTGAGTAACACATAGCACCTCACAATGGTTTTCATCAAGTATGTTTGCAATTTTGCTTTTGCTGATGCTGCTGATGCTGCTGCCCCAGTAACTGTTCCTCTCATAGAGGCTTTGCAATGCCTTTCGCCGACCAGGTTGCCCTTTACCTGGAACCTCCTCGTTCATATACTTGGAACGTACCGGCATGGGTTCCACAGGCACACTACACGGAGGGATGTTGAAGCAACAGAACCCCTGGTGGAGTGAAAAGGGAGCAAGGGAGTGCACTGCGTCAGCTTGAGTTGTTGTTGACTTGAAGTTTCAAGAGTGAGAGGCCAAGTTTTGGAGAGACTGGAGGGGTTGAAAAGTTTGCAAAACATACCATGCAGTGGGCTGCCCCAAAGCACTAGCTTGATGATAATTCCAGCTGAAGCGGGAAAGCAAGAGCTAAGTGTGCAAAGAAAGTCCAAGTATCACAATGCAGAAATCACCAGTCCTGCCTCAATCAGTGGAACATAGTGGAACTCCAAGGGCAGCCACATCCTACAAGTCCGTAACTTAAAAATAGACCTCATGGGAATCACCAGATTATGCTCGGTCCTGCTTTGTTGCGATGCAAAAAAATGTTGAGTCGGGCCTCAGCCGAACATTCAAGAGGGGTTCCACTTGCGCAACACAAACTGGCACTGCAATGCAACTGCAAAGCTGCACAGTGCTGCTTCACTTTTTGCCCACCAGCTGAAACGAAGAATGATGTTTCCTTAGTGGCTGTAACCCGCACTGAATCTGTTGAAATTGGTCCCCAGTGCGTATGAGCAAATGAGAGTGCGCATGCTCCTTCACTTTTTTGGTGCCTTACATACTGTAACATATTGTAACTATGTCATGCATAGTCTAAGGTGCGTAAACTATCTAGTCGTGCGAACCACCTGAACGCACCTGAACACCCGACGAGCCCAGCAAACCCCGGCGAACCCCGGCGAACCCCGGCGAACCCGGCGAACCCGGCGAACCCCGGCAAACCCGGCGAACCCCGGCGAACCCCGGCAAACCCGGCGAACCCCGGCAAACCCGGCGAACCCCGGCAAACCCCGGCAAATCTAAGCATAACATGTTTGGAGCCAAGGTTCCAGACCGAGCAGATGATTGATCATCACATCGTAGAGATCTCACACCTTCCAAAGTTCAATAGCTTCTACTGCAAGCTTGTGTCATGTTTTGGAAGCACGCTCACTGTTCAAATCTAAATGTCATTGGCTGTCATCATGTTGTGACACCATCAATAGTGCACTGTGAAGGAAACAATAACGTCTCAATGAAAAGAAAACATCGAGTAGCAGCCTGATGGGACAAAGCTTCATGATGGGCTGGATCGCCAGCACTGTGAACTGTGATGTCAGGTCCTCGGCAATAAGTGAGACTCATTTTTGACCACAAGATGGAAAGCAAGTGATGAGTTGTTCATTCAGCTGATGCACCTCGCTGGCCGACGCACCTCGCCCCACCCAAAGATGAGCTGGCACTGGTCTGTTTAAGCCACAGCCAGACACAATGAAAGAAGTGTGCAAGCATGTGCAAGCTACATTTGTCAACTCAAAGTGTTTCCAAACTATCTACACACGACATTGTATTTTTCTTTTCACTTCACACAGCACCAATGCTTTCTTGCACGGCTGCGTTCATTGCGCTCTTCAGCCTGGCCCTAAGCGGACTTGAGTTCCCTCCCATGGGCGCATAACGAGCCAAAGGTGATATACAGTATCATCAAATATGTTTATAACACTGTTCATGACTTTATGGAAAGTCTTCATTGGAGATCGACTTTAGAGGCATTGAGGAACACCCAGGAACTCATTCCCTAAAATCCAGGTGCGCCATCACACCAATCTCAAAGCTTCGTTGGTCTTCATGGCCAGTTCTGCTGAGCTCCGGTTCTTGATGAAATAGAGAGGTTTGCCTAAGAGCAATGAGACAAGGGCCTGTCCGATGAATGTTGGAACTTCAATTGCTCGAGGGTTGCTGGCACATGGCTGCTTTGCAGTCAAGCTGCGAGGTGTTAACTCCTTAAATCACAACAGTGACTGTCATTGAGGCTGTGGAACGGTTGAACTATTGTTGAATTCATTGTGTTTTGCAGCACAGGCGCATTAGCCTCCTTCAGATAGGCTACACGCCACACAGGGCAGAGCATTCTTGAAGCTGCCAACTCCTGGTGATAAAGAGAAGTATCACATCATTTCAATTTGTTGATTAATCAAAGAGGTTCGTGCACACCTTCTCAGTGAAGACATTAGCCAGCGAAGCCCACTTCAAAGTACTTGTCAATGACGGAGGGGACCACTGGAAGTATATTGGTGTCGGCTTCGGCTCAACCACAAAGAAATCTGAACCTGGGCTAAGGCCAGGACTTGAAAGATGCTCACACTTGTGCAAATCATAGCAAGTCTCAGAAGAATCCTAAGGCTGTGGCTGTCAGCTTTTGCTGAGCCATCACCGCAGGCAGGTGCACGAGAGCACTGGTGACCGTTGAGGGTCACATCAATCACTTCTTCCTCTTCCATCTCATGTAAGAGTTCCCTGATGGTGGAAACTTCAGAATCTTTTGTGCCCTTTCCAGATTCATTGGGCATTTCCAATACAACTCGTTCCATGTCGCTTGTCCAAGCACATGTCTTCAGGTAGTCACCTTCACCTGCATGTCCAAGGTTGTAGGTAGTCCAAAAGAACATCAGTTTATATCAGTTTCAATGCTGTAAGATGCTTCAAGACAGTTGTGAGAGTGTTTCACATCTACATCTGGTCAAACCACATTTTTTTGACGTCTCAACAGGCCCCAGATTTGATGGCTTCACTTCAGACAGTGTTCACACTGTCAAGCTAAGAACTAGTCGTTTCCAGCTGGATTGAATTGGGTGAAATGGTTGGCCACCTCAATTCCAGCTTCCCCAAATCCACGAAAGCACCAGCCCATCGATGATTGAAGTGACACTGTTTGGAGAGTGGATATTTCATTGACTTTGCTGAAAAATACTGAAAACCAAACTTGTGGCTTGGTGCTGGCAAAACCTAAAAGATCCTAAAAGACACGTCGCCGGCGCTGCTCATTTCAGGCGTCTTCGGCAGCGCTGGGTTTGCGACATGTTCCGGATGGAGTTCGCACGGGTCTCAGACACCTTCCACCTGAGAGCATGGAGTGAAAAGATATCTGCGCAAATATCATTGCCAAAAGCAGTTTCAGGTCTGGTTGACTGTCGAAGCACTGGGGGATATGGATGTCTAGGTTGACTAGTGGCTGGGGCCTGCACTCCTCCCTGGCTTTGTTCAAGACATCTCTCCCAGACCATTCCGGGTGTTCAACACGTAGAGCATTCATCTTCTCCTTGATGAACTGGTGGAATGAATCCCTCATCACATCACCCTGGCACAGGGAGGCTTTGGGTAGAGAGAGACCCTCCAAACAAAGATGTTGCTTAGAGTATTGCTTAGGCAGCTTTCGCAATTCAGTTTCCAAAGT